TGAGGGGGCTCGGGGCGGCTCCGGGGTGACCGCGATGTTCCCCCGAGCTCGGCAGCTCTCAGCCGGGTCCAGAGGGTGACCTGTGGGTCCATCCCGCGGCCCGTCCTCTCAGCCGCGCGGCCCGATGTTGTTTGTGAGTGGGAGCTGCCTCTGCGGGGACCCGCGGGATTTGGGGTGCCCTGGAAGCTTCTTTCGCTGGGAGCGCGCTTTGTGTGTGTGTGTGATTCTGGAGTCGGGGAGACACTGCACCTGCCGCCTGAATAGCACTAGGTTTGTGCTGTGGTGCCTTAGCAATCGGGCTAGGTAACGAGCTTTTAACTCCTCTGCGTTATTTTTCACAAATATTTCGTTTGTAAATGAATGTGCAGCCTAGGTTGGATCCAAGGCATGTCTGTGGGTTCCTTGTCAACTCCTAACACTCCCTAACACATCTTCAGCTGGAGATGAGGGAAGTGCAGGAGTGTGGATAGTCCTGCATGTCCTTTGTTTCAGTCTTTGCTGAGTTTGAGTTCTCAGTGTTTGGAAGTCAAGGTGCTCCGAGGCCTTTCTGCTCAGGAGATGGCTCAGGAGAGCTGGGGATGCTCAGCCTGGCCATGAAAAGGCTCTGGGGAGACCTTAGTGCATCCCTTCAGTACCTGAATGGGGCGTGTGAGAAGGAGGGAGAGGGACTTTTTACATGGGCAGATAATGATGGGATGAGGGGGAATGGTTTAAGTCTAAAAAAAGAGAGATTTGTGTCAGATATAATGAAGGAACTCTTCCCTTAATTCTTCCTTGTGAGCGTGGGGAGCCCTGGCACAGGCAGGCCAGAGAAACTGTGGCTGCCCCATCCCTGGAATTCTCCCAGGCCAGGTTGGACAGGGCTTGGAGTGACCTGGTCCAGTGGAAGATGAACTGAGGTATTTTTCCAGGAGGCAGAAGGAAAATGTCACTGTTTTCCTTGGGCTCTGAAGAAGGCAGAACTCAACAGAGGAAAGCTCTGCTTGCAGTCATACAGTAGAGAGCTCTATGGGATGTGGTAGCTACTGAATCCCCCATAGCAACACAGGGATGTTGGAGTCATGAGAGCGTGTTGTGACCAATTAAGGGATAGGGAAAATAATTGCTTTAAATTGCCCGAGCCTGATGTCATGGAAGCCAGATATAGACACAGCCCTTGTAGCTCAGTGAGGACGGACTTAGCATGGGTGGCACAGGTTTATTTTTAAGTGGAGGCTGCACTTCACGAGGAGAAACTTAGAGATGATGAATCAGCTGGCAGGGAGGGAATGAGTGTGGGTAGACTTTTCAACTGATAAGCCCTTGAGGCTTGGCTGTGTCATCAGAAGAGAGCCATTAGGACAGCAGTGCTTGACTTGTGGCTCTTTACCTGTTGGTTGCTGTTCAGGTGAGTGTGGCAGGGCTGAGCTCATGTGCCTCTTTCTGCAAGGAAACCAGATCCCTGCCTGTGGGATTTCTTTGTCCAGGACCACAGGAGTTTTCTCAGCATGTTTCTTTCTCTGGGTCCTGATGTGACTATACCAGAGCTTGGCTTTCTACCAAAAATTGCCTCCTGTAGGAGTCAAAACAAGACAAGAGCACACTGTTGTGTTTGTGGCTCCTCAGTGCACCCTGGTCCATCTAAGTTGCAAAGCAGAGACAGTGTTAGCAGAGTTTTGGAACATCTTGTGTTTAGGCTCTCACAAAATTCTGCAAACGTAACCTGCAGGGCATTTGGAAAATATTTTGGGATTCCAAAAGTTGGTTTGGCTGCAGGGAAGTAAATAATGGCAGAGGCTTCCTGTGAGAGAGAAGGGGAAAATAAAGGAGTAGGCAGGAGTGGAAAGTTCTGTGATGCAACAGAAGGACGAGCCAAAAGTGAGCAGTTAAACATAAATTTATATAATGCAGCAGCGTGGCCCAGAGCAGTGTGGTTAGTTGTATACAAATATGTTATGATTTTCTGTCATGGAGATCAAGTGCAACAATGGTATTTTCTGCAGATCTAATCCATTGGTGTTTGCTTTTTTCCACTTATTTTCACTCAACTGGGATTTGATGGTGCAGAAACAAATATATGAGAGGTTAGCTCGATACAATTTTTATACAGGTAGTGTACTCTTTCAGCATGGCTCTCTGTAGGGGTTTCAGTGCTGGACCAAACTCTTGGGCGATGGAACTGTCCTGCCAGCATTGCAGGAACCTGTTTGTACCCTACTCTATATATTTATTAAGTTCCACCTTAAAATGAGTTATTGTTTCTCTAAGAGAAGGGGCTGTTCCAGAAATTGGCTTCTGTGATGGCTGGAAGCCTAATTCCCAGCCTAGGTTTATTATTTGGATGTCAGTTGTCACAAACAGAGAAGGACACATTTTAGGGGTTGTTATTATTACGAAAGTGAAAGTTTATAAAGGTCTTGTCACAAATTGCAAGTTTCATTGAGGAAGGGACCTTGGAAGATCACCTTGTCTATCCTTCAGTCCCAAGGCAGATCTAGTGCTGCTGGAGTGATATCTGACATACATTCTCAAATTGTTCTCAACTGATGGGAAGATTCTGCTGCCTCCCTGTCTGACCGAGTCCAGTGCTTGTCTCTCTCCTCTGCTGTTCAGCTTCTGTAAGAGTCATTGCTGTAGGGAACACTGGCTCTCTCCATCTCCACAGCATCCTCTTGCATCTATAAAGACCAGTATCGTGCCTCCCCACTTCTTTTCACATTCCCTCTGAGCTCTGTTACTACCACTCGTGATTCCAGGCTGGCAGTTGGCAGGGAATTCAGAGTAGGATGATGAGCAACGCCAATTTTGATGTGTCTGTGTCTGATAGGTTTACTGGTTTAATCTTTCCCAACTTTCCTTACCATGCCCGCATAACACATTGCACACAGAAAGAAAAAACATTGTCTGGCTGACACACAAGGACATGCCAAGGTTTTACAGGTGCCTGCTGATTTTATATCCTTGGTATCATAAATTAAAAGATTGTGATAAAATTTAGAAGTATCACATACTTCTAGGTGAAGATAGACTCATTTTAATGCTTTTCAAAGTGTCTCCATCATTGTGTTTTCTTGTTTCACTGAGCTGAATGGAAGCTGGGAGTGAGGTAACTGTGCCTTCTTTGACAGAAATACCACCTGTGGCAGACCTGCTCTTTGTTTCCTTCCGAGGAGTAACCAGGCTCATAATTAGGCCTCCAGGGCAGCTATCAAAATTTGGCAATTAAAACCAATTTTTGTAAATAAGGTTAAAACTTTCCCCAACATTATTTGACTGAGCGTGAGAACTAGGGGTGTGACTGTGACCACATGCAAGCTTTGGAGTGGAGTGGCAGATTCCAGGGTTTGTTGTCTGTTTATCCATAATCTTGTGGTTGCTAGAAAAATGAGGAGGAAACAAGGTTGGTTTTCTTTGCTCCTGATATTGCAACGCTGACTGTGCAGTTCAAAAGCAAAGTTATAGCAAATATTCCAATTATCCAGCTTTTAATGAGTAATGCCTGCACTTTGCCAGGCGTTGAGGGCAGGTTTGGATCTTTGCTTTTGGAACAGCAGCAACGTTTCTCATCAATCCTTGCTTTCCTCTCACAGCCCTCAGATTTGGAGCAAGGCACTGAGAACCACGAGCAAATTGAGAAGCACGAGGCTGCAAGATGTCGGGGCGGAGCGGGAAGAAGAAAATGTCCAAGCTGTCCCGCTCGAGCAGGGCTGGGGTGATTTTCCCCGTGGGGAGGATGATGCGCTACCTGAAGAAAGGGACCTACAAGTACCGGATCGGGGTCGGAGCGCCGGTGTACATGGCAGCTGTCATAGAGTACCTCGCAGGTAAAGCAAGAAGCTGCTCCTGGAAGTGCTCCTCACACACACAGAAGCCAGGGCTAGCCACGGGATGGGATACAAACATGTGGAGCGCTCCTGGAAAGCGGGCTCTGCAAGGGCAAGATTTGTTGAAATTTGTTTCCTGGAGAGGCTGAGGGTGGAAATTCCTTTAGAGGCATCATGCTTGGTCACTAGCTGGGGGTGTTATTTTTTTATTGCTTTGCAGAGTGAGGAGTAGTTTCTGTCCCAGAGAAAATTTGTATTAATTAAGCTTTTTGATACACTTAAATATGAATAATAGGAGAAAAAAAAAGCAAACCCACCTTGTACTGTTTCTTTGCTTTTTAAGTGAGAAAACTGTTTTGCTGGCTGTGTTTCTCCTTGCAGAACAGTGTCAAAGTATTTTGAAATCTAAAGGTGTTTTTTTTTTAATTTTAAAAACCCTTTTGCTTTGTCTAAGTGTATAAAGAAAGTGTTCCAGGGTTTAAATCTTCCCACACAACCTGAGTTTCCTTTTCCCCACCTTTCTGAAACGGACCTTTGAGGAAGGGGCAGGTGTCCCATGATGATACAATGTACTTTGGTTCTGTACAGAAATATTTCAGAGTGTCCTATGATCATATCTGCCAGGTTTCTTATTCAATTATGGAAAACAGCACTTGAGCAGATTGTTGGGACTCACAGTGCAGAGAGGATTCTGCTTCAGGTTACTTGGGGGTTACAGATCAAGACTGAGGTGCATTAGAGAATCTGTGGGGAGTCACAGCCTGGATGGAATTAGTTGAGTGAGCTGTGTTTCAGGAGTGTAGTTTATTGCCAAGGTGGCATGAAGAAGCTTGCATGAAACCTGGTTGTCCATGCAACAGGTTTTATGTAAATGTTCATGTCTGTTTTACATGTGAAGCTTGTTCGCACTACCAGACAATAAAAGCATTATTTTCTTTCAAAGGTGTGGAGAAAATCTGAGATCTCACTAATAAATTTCACTAATTTTGTGGCTTCACTATTAAAATTAAATTTATCATGAAGCCTAACAGTACCTTGCAAAATTTTCCATGTTTGTACATTCCAGGATAAGAATCAATTTTATTTTTTTTTTCCCCTTGAGGCTACTTCTAGAGCTGGAGTGACAAAGTATTGCATGTGTTGAAGAAATCACAGTAACTTTTATAACATAATGTGATGCATTGTGACTCTGCTGACCTTCTGTCTGGAGAGAAATACTTTTTTTTTCTTCTCCTACTCCACAGGGAGATATTTCTAGGATAAACATTTGGAGATGCTTGTTCTGAGCTGTGGCAATTTTTACAAGGTGCAGTAATAAATTGTCAGCAGCACATCTGGTATGTGCAACATTTCAGTGGTGAAGACTGACTTGTGGTCAGCACTGTTTGCCTTTCACCTGAACTAGAACAATGTATGTCTTGGCTCTGCTCCTGGATAGTAAGTGCAGTTTAATTTAAATCATTAATCTGATATCAGCAAATTATGTGTGGGCCTACACTTTGCTTTAGAAAAAAATAAATGAACTTGTAGTCAACCAGGCAAGAAGGTTGCCAGAGGTGTAGGCTGGGAGCCCACATAAATTGTAAGGGAATGCTATTTTCAGCTGCTTGGTTCAGCAGAGAACTCCTGTAATTATTGTGATAGAATGGAGAATGTTTCTGAGCAAACATCTGTTGCTGGTGGATTGTGTTCTTTCCAAACCAAAGTTCCTGTGCTCTGTCCAGGGTTTTGTTTGGAAGTATTACAAAGGTGGAGAGTTCAGTTAAAAAAACCAGTGTTGCAGCATCTAACCCCTCTGATCTAGTTATTCCTAATATTAGGAGTCGATAAAGTCTTTGGTTTTGGGAAGCCTGTAGAAACAAAATAGATTTTTCCAATGGAGTTCTCGAAGGGGGTATTTTATGGCAAATGGCTAAATTTTCTGAACATTATCTGATCTTCCTATTAGAAATGCCATTCTTTTCTCCTGGATTTGCAGCTATGAAATGGTGGTTCCTCGGGATGAAAGGCTGCATGCAAGAGAGCTGCTTCAGACTAAATCTGGGAGGGTGGCAGTAAGGGACTGCCACTTTCTTGCTGTTCCACAGAAGCAGGTCTAACATATTTTTTTTTGTTATGTTAAAACATTCATGAAAACTTCTCTAAACTCCTGAGTGCTTCTCTGTGTTTGAACAGAGATTTGATGCTTTACAAAAGGGGAAGGGAGGGTGGTCTCTGTCAGAGAAATCTGTTGTCTTTGGCCAGGCTCTGACTTTGATAAAACACAGGTTGCTCATGCTCAGCAGAGATTTCTTTGACTTTAACAGTTAAAATCTCTGAAGACTTGGTCCACACTGAACACATTCCAGCCTCTCTCAGCTCCTGGATCATAGCATTGTGGGGAGGCAGTGGTTATGGAAGAAGAATTTTGATGTTAGAGAACGAGGCAGGGATTGGTCTGGCTAGTGGGGAGAGCTGGACTGATGACCCGTAGGCAAGTAAATGGTGAGGAGTGTCCAAATATCCTGCCAGGAAGCTGGAAAGCAAGTTGAAAAAATAGGAAATAGGGCAAGGATTGGATAGAGGGGGTGCTGGTAATGAAGAGCCTGGGCAGGAATACTGAGCCTGAGTAGGCAGGAGAAATGGTGACTGCCCAGGAAAGGCTACTGAGACAGAAGTCTTGGTGTGGATTGCCAGGGAAAGGAGATTGGGCTGTACAACTGTGGGGAAGAAAGTCCTGGCTGGGGTAGGGGCAAGGTGGATGAGGCTGGGAGGATCAAACAGGAGCAGAACCACCTGAGTGCCTGCATTCCTCCAGGGCCTGGCATGTACCAGCAGATCTCTGTGAGTTACCAGTCCGGCGTGGTCTGTTGTTGGCCTGAGCACTGAGCCTCGTGGCTGGCATCATCCAGAGGGTGCATGTACATCTGGAGCATCCTCACTCCTGCTTTATGAGGCTGAGACTGCTGTTTGGCTGTGGTATGTGTTCTGTGTCACAAGCTACTAGACCCCTGTTTTTTTCCTTTGTAAGCAGGATTGATCATGGCAGCACCTCACAGCCATTATCACCCCCAAATCTGCACTTTGCCTTATCAACCCCATCATTAAAATGGCAGCAAACCCCACAGTGTAGAGATGGTGGAATCTCAGGAAGAGGTACTTTTACCTCAACTGATCAGCTAATGTGAAGATCTCCTCACTGTTCTAAACCTTTCTTTTTAATTGCTTTATGCTCTTTTACATTTTGGGCTTGAAAAATGATACTGTAAAACTGCAGCTTAATTCCTGTCCAGAAAGTTGTGTTTGCTGAAGCAAGGTTGAGTTCCACTGGCTTCAGAGTTAAAATTCTGTGAAAAAATTGGCCTGAGTCCCATCTGATTGATGGATTTTGCAACAGTCTCATGCTCTGAGTGTGCACAGAGCTGACTGCAGGCACAGCCACCTAAATCAAACATCAACTGCATATGTCCTACAGGGCATCTTCCCAAAAAGTAGGCAGAGAATAACAGAAGCCCCTTGATGAGGAAGCACAAGTCATGTCATGTGTGCTGGCCAGAGGAATTTATGGAAGATCTCAATGGAAAAACCATCCTCTCTAGATTAGGGCAGAGCACAACAGCAGCAAAGGCTTCCTCCCTTCACAGGAATCACCTGGAATACTCTTCTGCTTGTGGTCATCTGCCTGCAGACACAAATCCAACAGATAGTTTTCCACCTGCAAATGGAGGACTAAGGACTCTACCATCAATAGATTTCTGCAGAGTAAAGGCATTACTGGTAGATTTTTTTGTAGTAGTGTAACAGGAGCTGACAGAATTTCTCCTGAGGGGGAGGTGGAAAACAAGACAACCTGTATGAAATCTTTCCAATTTGCTATCAGTAATTCTCATGGGCCTTTCTTAGCAGTCCACTTTCCCAGAAGCTCAGCTGAACAAAAACCTTTGGCCTCGCTAGGATGCTTTAGTTCCCGACATTTCAAATCTGCTGATCCATCAGCTAAAGAAACCTCTTTTTTCCTGTGTGTCACAGGATGACAAGATGTAATCCCATTCAGGCCATAGTTTGGCTGCAGCTCGTCTCTGCTGGAAGAGAGTTATGTTCTTTCTGAAGATGCCTGGATTTGAAGTTAAGCTTCTGATGTGGAGCCATCTTTGTGGGTTTTGACTCTTGCAGGAAGCAGTGTTATTTGAGATTTCAATGTAAATTCTTCATGGCTGTGCTTAGAGCACAGAAAGTAAAACCAACTTATGGCTGAGAATATCAAGATGCCCACTTCCAAGAGAGCTTGTTATGGCGTAGGACTTTATTATAGGACCTGTATTCTCAGACTAGTCCTTTTAGAATTTAGGTAACCTCAGCTGTTAAGAAGTTTCTGCTTGAGATGTAAAGCAGTTTCTTTAGGGATCTGCTATGGTCAGCAGAGTGTGTGATAACTGAAGCCTCCAGTTTTGACACTGTATTTTGTAAATGCCATTTTTTATTCTTAAGATGATGAGCCCCTGCCTCCAGCATTAGAAAAAATATGCATAGAAACCTTCATTAGAAGGAGGTAAGGCAATCATTTACCTATGCAAATATTTGGCATCCCTTGGTAAGTCATGTACATATTCTGCAATCTGCCTACATCTCCTCTGCCTTGGATTCCCTTCTTCCCAGTGTCCTGTGATGGATGGCTGGCATTTGAGTGTTCTGCCTTTTTTGCTCTTAACATTAGGCAGAGGACTAAGAGTGCACCATCAGGATGCTGCTGGCCAAAGGACCCAAACCTGGGGCAGTGGGGTGAGCACACAGGTAGCAGGATGTGCCTGTTGTTGGCACACCTGAAAGAACTTCAGTTCTCACACAGGTAAGTATGTATTGGTTTTTGGATTTATTTTTTTTTCCCCCCGATGCAATTTTCCTCTGCTGTCAGCACACATCTGCAAAACCCACTGGAGGAGCCTGGGTCTCTTTTCTTGCTCTCTGCTGGTCTGCACAATGGATGGAATCTGTTCCTGCTGTCTGCTGCTGCATTAGCTCTGCTGGCAGAGGTCTGGGAGAGGGTCTGACATTTCCAGCCCCATGGGGGTGTATATAGCTAGATTATGTGAGATCTCTTTTCAGTTTCCTCCTTTAAAATCCAGGACGGACTAGGAAATGCTGGAACTGAGAGGTTCCTGCCCTAACTTTTACAGTTCACTGTGAATATGTGTATAAATTAAAAAAAACCAAACAACAGACTTCTAAATTTCCAACATTCAGTTAAATATGTATGCTGCATAGTAGTGAAAACTGGAAGACAAGTTTGTAGTTTTGTTATTCTGAGTGGAATTGAAAGCTTGTATTTTTCCCATGAGCCAGAGCTAAGCCTCATGTTGAAATTATTTGGATTTTAGCCAAATATTATTCCACTAGATTTTTCATTAAACTCCTTCTGTTTGTAATAGGTATAGTTCTTTCTGTAGTTTGTAAAAAGGAGTAGGATATAATTAAGACATCAATAAGTTATCAATAGGATACTGATTTGCTGTAATTTTCATATTCCTGTTAGTGACAAACGCCAACACAAACCCAAAACCCAGACGACAGGGACACTGTATACTTCTAAAATGAAACAAAGTGTAAATATGATTTTTAGGAGTAATTGGAGGAAAAAATATTCCTGTCTCCTTCCTTCTCAGTGTTTCAGTAGAGTTCTTATATGAGAAATAACTTCTGAGTAGAGGCCAAGCTATGTAAGCTAATGAATTATACTGATTGCTACAGTCCAAATAAACTTAGGAAGATGTGTCTGTATTTCTGTAATAATTAGTAAAAGTTCAGTGGCTTTGGTTACAGTATAAATGTTACTGCTAATTTAGAGAAACTACCTTTGAAGTGACCTCCTGTTCTTCGAGATGTAGAAGGACCCTTCTATCAATATTTCATCCATTGAAGCTCTCACGTTGTCTCTGCTTGCATCTGAGTCAAACCTTTCATATCTTGTTCTGAAATGAAGCTTCTCACAGATTTTCAGTGCCCTTTAATGCAGAATTCCAGCAGTGCCTGGCTAGTGTGTTGGCTTTCCAAGTATTTCTTCAAATGCACCTCAGTCTTCATCTTCCCTGGTCCTGAGAATCCTTGCTGTTTGTCAGAGCTGTCTGTTCCAGGTTGGGGTTTTCACTGCATGCTTGACTGTTCTGTTGTCACAGGGCTGCTGATAAAGTTTGGACTGCTGATGTACATTTTTAGGGTTTTTTCCTGCATTTTTGAAAGAGAATTCTGACTTGAGACTCTTAAAAGAAATTATGTGAACCAAGCTTAGCATGTTTTCTCCTTTAGGGAATTAGGAAGGACAAATGAATTTATTTAAATTTACAGATATATTGAGTGGGGTTTGATTTTTGCCTTTCTTTAGCAAGAACCCTTTAAGTCTGGAAACATCCCTGAAAAGGTAAATGGATATTAAGAAGCAGTGCAAAATGTGTATGCAGCATCTACCTGAGCTGCATTTTTGTTACTGGTTTTTATCTTGATGTGTTACAGCCGAAATCCTGGAGTTGGCAGGAAACGCGGCGCGGGACAACAAGAAAGGAAGGATTGCCCCCAGACACATCCTCCTGGCAGTTGCAAATGATGAGGAACTGAATCAGGTGCCTGTTTACATTTTGGTGCTGGAGTTTGGTGTGCTTGAGTGAAGCTGCTACCAGGCAAGGTTAGAAACAGCTTAGTCTGAGATACGAGATCGCAGTTACCGGAACAGAAGACTGCGCCCTCTTAAGTAAAAGCAAACAAAAACAAAAGTTCTGAGACACCTCCTCTTAAATCTTAAATATGATAAGATACCTTATCTTAATCATAAATAATTTTATGGACATAAACTTTAGTTCTCCTTAGCCTATGAATTCTGTTGAAATGAGAAGTCTTGATGCTTCCCTTTTTCTTCAGGGATATTCAGTACTTAAAGAAAATGTGTAAGACCTTTTCCCAAAAGCTGTAGTAATGTGTGTTTTCTGTTATACTGGCTGTGAGGCCCATATTGGGTAGGGATCTGGCTCAGTCTCTGCTATTGCTGCCTTCCTGTCTGTTTGCCCAAACTGTGGTTTTCAACACTTGACTCCCAGGATCACTTGTGGGATCACTTCTGCTAAACTTGTTGAGTGAGGACAGAGATCACAGAATGGGCTGCAGATTGTACTATTCAGGGCTGTTGAAAAGGTTCAGTCAGCATCAGATATCTCCTCTGTATGAAGATGGATGATCTCATCCACATTTTGAATACTCCTGCACTTAATATGACTGCTCTAAATAATGAAAATGTGGTGCCCATGAAGTCGTGTGGCTCTGTTTCCAGTCAAGTGGAGTAAAAATTCAAAACAGGCCAGAAAAGGAAGTATGTTAACACTACCAGCCCTTTCCTAGCTCTGTGTTTCTGGTCAGTAACCTGTGAACTGGGATCTAGATCCAGTGTTGTCTCTTAGGAATTAGCCAGACTTTGTCCTCTATGTGGTACCACGGCCCATTCCTGTTGTTTGCCTCTGCAAAGCAGGTCTTTGGAGCTTTTCCTTGCTTTCACTGCATCTGTTTCCCTGCAGAGAGAAAAATACCTTTTCTTTTGTTTCCCTGCCAGAGAGATCTGCATCGAGTCCTCCTCTGAGCAGGGCTGTGGTGCAGTACATTTTTTAAGTAGCCCACAGACACTCTTCTTCCTTTACCCTTATGCACTGCTTGTGAGTCACCAAGGACAGGTTCTCACTAAGACTGGCACTGGAAAGGGTAACAGAATTCTGCAGGATGTGCTGGCTGACCTGCCAAGCTCCTTGTTATTGTGGATTTTCTCCTTAATGGTTTTTTGGTGGTGCAGACTTAAGAGGATCTGTAATCTGCTTCCATACACTGCTTCTCCTTACAGTTGCTCAAAGGTGTGACTATTGCAAGTGGAGGTGTCCTGCCCAGAATTCAGCCTGAGCTTCTAGCCAAGAAACGGGGTGCCAAAGGCAAGTCTGAGACCATCCTTTCCCCTGCTCCTGAGAAGAAGGGGAGGAAATCCATGGTGACCAAAAAGAGTGGGAAGAAGGCAAAATCTACCAAGGCCCGGACGTCCAAAAAGGTAAGCACGGGGCAGGTATGGATTCTGTGTCACCCTCTGCAGTATTTTCTTGATAATTGTGTGGAATCTCTTCCCTCCACACTAACTCTGTGGCAGTGAACCCTTTTAAAATAAAGGAAGCTGTGTTCTAAAACATTTTCTACTAGAGATATTATGCCTTCAGCCTTGTACAGTTACTGGGCTGCTGTTAAAGATTCTTCACTGTCCAGAGAACTTGTCGTGACATGGAACATCAGTGTCGTTGTGACAAACTCTTTGTTTCATGTGTTCTTAGCTGTGCTGTTGTTGGTGATTTTTGAAAGAAGAATAAATCAATCAGAACTTGACCACTGCACTTTCCCTTAGGGTTGCCCATCCTCTATCACTATCCAAAACAGATGAATTTGATAAAGCAGTAACCCAGATCAGTGCTCTTGGTTTGTCATTCTAGAGCATGCACCTTGAAAAACTGCTGCTGAGTTTTTCATTGGGTAGGTTTAAATGATATCAAGCTTTGACTTAAACTTTTAAAACTTGGATTAAGCACATTTTTCTGGAGGCCTCAAAGTTTTAATACAGTTCCATAGCTGATGATATACAGAAACAGCCTTCAAAAAGAAAACAGGGCTGCTTAATGGCACCTTTAATTGGATGCCTCTGTGTATTGATCTCAGCTACCACCTTACTTTGAATTGTGCACATGCAGAGTTTGGACTTGTTAGGAGGTGGTAGCTTCTTGACATAGCTTAAAGCAAATATTGAGAGATGTGAGGAGATGCTCTTTTAGCCCTCTGTGACTGGTAGGTTTGCTGCTCCTGGAGGCAAGCTGTAAGAAGGCTTTATAACTTAATAACTGAGACTTAAAAATTTGTTTTTCAGATCACAAAGTTGTTTTTTTCTTCAAATTGGAGCATTTGGCTGGGTTACTAAGTGACTAAATTTGATTTAATATGAGGTTCTGCTCCGTTAGCAACGAAAATAAACTAACACATGCCCACCCATATAAATACAACCTTAATTGTCAGTAAATCTACAGATGGGTGTGGGTGCCCTGCTTCTGAATGTGACAACAAAAGTATGTAAGGACTCAGATGAACCACTGATTTAGCATTATATAAACAGTGCAGATCTCTGTTGTTACATAATCTTAGGGGATTACAAGGCTATGAGTAATGTATTGATCTGAGAAGATAAGATTTGTAGTAAGTTATTAAATCTCTCCATTGTTGATAATGTTAGATGTTGATAATTTTGTTTCCTTTGAGAAGTCTTGCTTTTTTTTTTTCCTCCCATCAAATAGAACAAACAAAAGGACAATGAAAAAGAAGGAGCTTCAAATTCAACAACTGAAGATGGACCTGGGGATGGTTTCACTATCTTGTCCTCCAAGAGCCTTGTGCCAGGACAGAAGGTAATAAAGAGCAATAACAGACTGGGGCTTAGCATGAAGGGAAGGATGCTTTTCTCTTAAACCAAAACATTTCCAAAATCTGCCTTTTTTTTCCTTCAATTTGTGATGTTAGAACACCAGTTTTCTAGCAATAACTTCCTCTGGAGCAAACTCCCAAGTTGTGGGGAAATCACCAAATAATCTGAGTGGTGTGCAAATTAATTAATTGAAAGCTAAAAGTCAGAATGACACATACTGAACAGAATAAAATAACTGGTCTCTGAAAGACGGAGTCCAGCCTTCTTTCACTTCAGCTTTTTGGTGTGGAAATGACTTTGCACTTGGACTACTGTTTATTTTTCCCTCCCCCCTCATTATTACTTTTCAGCTTTCTCTGACACAGAGTGACATCAGCCATATTGGCTCCATGAAAGTAGAAGGCATCGTTCACCCTACAACTGCTGAAATAGACCTCAAGGAGGAAATAGGTGAGGCTCTGTACATGCAGAAAAAACACACCTAGGGCTGGAACAGTAGCTGGACTACTGGCTGCCTGCTGAGATCCCATCCTGTTTCATCCCAATCTACCCCAGGCCATAAAACATCACTTACAGCTTCTGAAAATCAGGCTGGATCTGTAGAACAGGCTAATCACTAATTTGTCTTCTTTTAATGACAAGCAAAACACAGATAATTTGTTGAAGAAGCACATGAGCAGCAAAGGTGTAAATAATTATTATTGAGGGGTTTATTGGCTTATTTTTACATTTGCATCTGAAGATTGCATTGAAAAATTGTATATTAATAACACTTCTAACTATGACTTTCATTGTAGGATGTTACATAATTTAGAAATACTCATATACAAAGCCTGATACTGCTCATGTAAAATAAGGAAATACTGTTATTACAAATATGGAAATTTAAGCAGGAGGGTGGTGAAAAGCTATTCAGTCAGTCACACAGGGGCACAGAATCTAGTAGCAGCTTTTCGGATCATTGTTTTTTAGTCATCAAGACCTTCACTGGCATCCCAGCTGTGTTTGTTTCAGTAAGTAGCAGGGTTTGTATGTTGGGTTAATTTTGGAGGCCAAAAGCCTGAGTCCTGAAAATCCCACTCCACACTATTTTAGCCATGAGTCCAAGTAAATAGCATTCTTACAGATATTTATATTAATGTAATTTCCAGTAGCAGCATCCAGGGCTCTTCAAAACCACGAAAAGTAAACTTTAGCTGTGTCTAGGCAGAGTAGTAAACATAAAAATCAGGTGCTGCTGATAGAGGGAAGCAGGATAGTGTGTGTACAGTGTTCTTTTAAGTAATGTAGACTTGTTTTTCCACAATGATGCTCTGAAGCCAAGGCCTTTTGCACTGTGTCCTTGCAGGCAAAGCACTGGAAAAGGCTGGAGGCAAAGAGTTTTTGGAAACAGTGAAAGAGCTTCGCAAATCTCAAGGACCTTTGGAAGTTGCTGAAGGTAAAAAGGATACTCTGCTCTCTTTTGGACATGGCTCATTTTGCATGTTCTTTTCTCTGGACATTCTGATCTGTTCCTGTGTTGTGTGTGTTTGCTTATGTGATGTAAATGTTCCCTAAAAGCTGTTGCTGATATGGGCAGCCTGCTGAGAGGGGAAAAAAAGGAAGAACAGGGTACCTTTGTGCTGTGTATATCCTGTCTTTAGACTGATCCATTTGTCTTAGGCAATTTCTATCCATGGGAATCCAAAAATTAAGGAAAACTTTCCTGCCCTGTTTGTACAGCAGCCTTAGTGAGAATCAGAAACAGCTCTCAGCCTAACATATGAGGTGTAGGAAACATTAGGGATACTTCATAAATTATTCTCATTTATGCATATTTGATGAATGTATATAACCCAAATAATAACTTTACTTTCAACACAAATGAAGATGTGATATGAGCTGCAAAACTGGCACGCTTTTAGGAAGAGCAATTGCTCAGATACTGCATTATTAGAATGCAGATTCTACTTTATTAGAAGAGCTCCCTTCAAGGGTTAACACATTTGTAGCAGGGAATAGTTTGGGACCTGAGATTGTGCTTCCTTTGTGGACAGATTCAATAAATTGAAGGTGTCTGGAAGACAGATGGAGAAAAGTTACAATATGTCTTATTTGGCTTAGTATCTCTATACCCCAAAGAAATAAATGCTTTAAATAGTCTAATTTTGGAAAATTCCTAATTGAGTAGCCTAGTTTTATAATCTGAAATAATAGAGAAATTTTTATACAAGGTAATTTTCTTCACTTTGATATCACATCAAATTTATATGCCATAAAATCAAAGTAAACTACTTTTCTCTGTCAACATCACTACCTAACTAGAAGATAGACTCCTTTTTGTACTATTAAGACAGCTGGTTAAAATTTAAGTAGCACAGAATTCCTTGCAACAGAATTCCCCTGTGATGGAGAACAACTGAATACATCCAGGATTTTCATCCTTGGGCTAATTCCATCCTGCACAGCTAATTTCAGAGTGTTTAACCTGAGATTACCAAGACAACTCAGACTTTCGGTAGTGCTGATGGTGACAATTGCAACAAAAGCAAACTGATGCCATGCTGTAAACTCTGCAGGAGAGATATTACACTTTCTGAAAAATTAACCTGAGATTCCTAACTGGACATAACCGGTGGGGACTTTTAACAAACAACTTTGATTTTCATGTCCTTGTCTGAAATTACTCAGCTGTGGAGTGGGTCAAAATATTACTCCCCAGCACTCTGAAGTTATAAAGATGATGGTGATTAGGAGGATGATGATGTAGGGTATTTGTGCAAAGCACTCAGTGACAGCACTGCAGAAATGTCTGTGGGGATTACCGATACTGTGTTGAGGGTGAGGTTTTTGTACTTTGCATAAAACAAGCTCGGAGACCGTGCTGAATGAGAGAGCTAAAAACCATTATTGAGTCTAACCAAATGACCCCTGGGTTCTTTGGTCTCCAAAGAAATAAAAATTGATCACAAAAGGAATGATGAGACAGGTTATGATTGCAAGCGAGCCATTGCGGTGTAATTTTAATCCCAAATGTATTTCTTTGGAGAGGTGATGTAATTAAGAAGGTACATTGGGTTGAGAGGTCATTGCAGGGCGGTTTCTGTTCCAAACTAAATGTTATATTTTCATTTGTGTTAGCTGCACTCACTCAGTCTAGCGGCCTAGCAGCAAAGTTTGTCATCCACTGTCACATCCCACAGTGGGGCTCGGACAAGTGTGAAGAGCAGCTCGAGGAGACTGTCAAGAACTGCTTAACAGCTGCAGAAGACAAGAAGTTGAAGTCTGTGGCTTTCCCCCCGTTTCCCAGCGGCAGGTAGGACTCCCTGTGTCAGGTAGCAGAGCTGGAATTGGCTCTCAGAGCTGCTGCTGTGCCAGAGAGGCGCCCTCTGCTCTGTGACCCTGCCTCTGCTGCTGCCATCTGACAGAGCTGCTCCAGTGGAATCCAGCCTGAAGTGCAGTGCTTGCAGGAAACTGCCAGAGAGCCTTTGTAAAGAGAAATTAGCCAACCCACAGGAGAGCTGAGTGGGCTTGCTGTGTTTTCTATTGCTAGGCAGTCATTTTCATTCTTCTGTACCACCCTGGGTTTTGTGTCCCTTCATTTTGCTGTGGGGAGTCTTATTAAACCTGCATTTGTACTAATAAGATTATACCAGCATGATACTGAAGGCAGGTAGCAGTGATGCCACCTGAGCTACGTGGATGTGGGGTGTTCACTTAAGCACTCCTGATAACAGATATTTAAAAGACTTGTCCCACAAAACATCTCTTTCAGAAGAAAATCTCTTTCTCAAATGTAGTTCTGCTTTCAAAAGGGAAAACTGTTAAACCAAGTGTGAAGCCACACATTTCTTTCTCAATAACTAGCAAGTAGAATGTGCTTGACTAAGAAATCTACAGTATTTATAATTTTCTTTTTTTTTTCTTTTAAATCTCTTTTTAAATCAACAGTTTGTTGGTCTCTGATGACAAAAAAATCTGACACAAGCCCTGCTATCTGCAGCAGCTGTTATTTTTGTGTTAGAGCTCATGTTCCTTTATTTTGAAATTTATCCACTGATTTTGGTAGTAGTGCCCAAAGAAAGGAGCACACAGTCCAGTCCAGTTGTGTTGGCCTGACAGTGAATAAATTGAAAATAAAACTGCATTTGATCAGTGAAATCACCACACATCACTAAATACACAGGAGGTGAAAATGCCATTTTTACACAGATACACTTCAAAGCAAAATATAATTTTATGGATCAGGACAAAAGAATAAATAGAAGGGCAGTGCAATTTTCAGTCTTTTTATTTAATATACAGATCTTTTTGTTTATGGTTTTCAGTCAAAGCAAAATGTGATACATTGTTTAAACAGTGCTTAATATAAAAATTAACTATAGCTTTTAATGCCAATAGAACCAGTTTCTAGACTTCATATCTTCTAAGGGCATAGACTCAGAATAATCCATTCTTGCACCATTAGTCTTAGTGCAGATCCTTCTGCTGCTTTGTTCCATTTCACTCTGTTCCTCTTACTCCTCCTAACTGAAGTAGTTTTACCAGGTGCTGCTGGTTTACACTTCATTTCTCAAAGGACCTCAAAATTTCCTGAAAAAAGGCCATTTTTCAAATAGGACTTGCTGTTTTTGCTGTCATTTTATTCTACCTACATCTCTGCACATGAAATGCTGCTTTTGTGGGTAGATAAAGACTTACAGTGTTGTATCAGTTCTGTGCATTTTCATTTTCCTCTGCCCCATCTTAGGGACTATTTACAGTAACTGATGTAACATTGCTATAGATGGGATACTTCACTTGTGCCAGATCTTTTTGATCATTTTCAATTTAAATATGATTGTAGGTTAAAGAATATTACCATCAAGAGGAGTGAATGAATGCATCTCAACCTTAATTTGGCTTGGAGTTGTAACTTAAATTATTTTCACAGGAATCCCAAGCAAAGTATTTTAATGACAGAGCGAGGAAGTCAGCTAAGTAGGTGATGTTTTGGGTTTGGGTTTTTTCCAGTTTTCAGTTATTAAAAAATAATCATCCTTTGAAATTTTTGCCTGCCCAGCATGGCATGGAAAAGTTTAATTCTAAGGGCAAGCATTAAAATAATTTGTTTAGTCATAAGAAGTAGAAGCAGATGAAAACAGCAAGGAAACTTAATTCAGCAGCAGGTGAACATTGCTATCAAAACCTCGGGTTTGCCAAACTGCAGCTACCACTACCTTAGCAGCCTGTGCCTGGAACAGCTCTGTCTGGTTTCTCTCAGCATCACTGCCCAACACTCACCTGCTCTCTTTTCTTCCCTGACCACACAGAAACTGCTTCCCAAAACAGACGGCAGCCCAGGTGACCCTCAGAGCAATTTCCACCCATTTTGACGGCACCAGCTCTTCCTCCTTGAAGAACATTTACTTTCTGCTCTTCGACAGTGAAAGCATTGGCATCTACGTGCAAGAAATGGCCAAGCTAGACACTAAGTAGCAACAGCAGCCAAATGAAACTTTATTTTTCAACAAACTTGAGTAGCATTAAAAGCATTAGAGGTGGGTTTTATTTTTTCAATGTGACGATGAGGGGGAGTGGTAGTAGTGTGACGTGTTGTGACTTGATGGAGAGCTGTGATTAGAGATGAGAGGGGTTTTGTCCAATTTCTTCATGCCATTTTTATCACCTTAAGCAATTGAGTTACCATCTGGCTTCAGGAGTTTAGTGTCCTTTGTTACTTTAGTTTAGGAGTTTTTAAAGAGTAACCTCATTTTAGATTTGTAGTGATGATTTCTTCACACACACACACACACACACCACTTTCAAGAAAGCTCTTAAAAATGTCCTGCTCCTTTTTCCCCTCCCTTGAGGGTAGATGGTAAACTTCAGCCCACAGAGAGGTGAAAAGGGTTTTAGAAGTGATGCATGAGGAGCTTCTGTTTTGCTTTTAACTCACAATAACCTCTGTAATTACTAAGAATATTTCATGGTGATTTTGTTTGTTTTATAAGAAAAAAAGAAAAAGATGTGTCAAGTGTGGTTATTATTATAAACCCTAATTTTTCTCTGGGGATTTCTCACCCTAAAAAGAAAAAAATTAAAAAGGAAAAGAGAAGAAAAAATAAAAGCAGCAGCATCTGTAATTAAGTGCTTGCTGTATCACAACCAATAGCTTTTCTGGCTGAAGTTTGGTGCTGTAAGTGACGTAATTAAAGCTGCTGAGGAGATTTTGACACAAAGCTGCATTATATTGTGTTGAATTCCAGGTCTACCATATCCACTTCCAGGTTTTAGACAGGCATTACCCTGGCAGCACTACAAGCCATTCTCCCTGCAAGCTGCAGAGCAGATGCCAGATCTGTAAGAAGCAGGTTCTTCTTAGAAGAGCAAGAATAGAGAAAGCCAGGGGAAAAATCCCCAAAAAGCAGCACATAACAAACAAACCAGAGATTCTGAAAACCACAGTGTTTAGTGTTACGAATCAAGGTAAGCCAAGCTTGTTGCTCAGAGCTCTCTCAGCAGGGGAAATAAAAGTAACCTTTCTTCCCTGTTTTTTAGCATGGCAACTTGTGTGCAGTTCATTTGGGAAGTGACTCCTTCCCCTCCACAGCAATGCAGGCACCCTTTTTATGTGTCATGGTGACAGGTGGCTTGAGGAGGTGCTGCAGAGGACAATATCAGTCAATCCAAGCAGTAGAAGTGCACCCTCACCCTGTTCCAGTTGTTGTATCCTTGCTGGATGGTTACCTGTGCCCTCTTAAGAGGGCATTGTCTGTCCCATCGTCTTCCAGCTCTTGGAGACGAACAGATCCCGGCTCTTGGCAATGGTCACCAGGAGACGTCCCACATAGTAACCACTCACCTGGCCTACACCATCATTCCTGCCCATGGAAAGCAGGAATGTTAGTGACCCTGCAAAGAAGATGTAGAGGTGTAAGTGAAGCAGCTCTTGTCCAGCTCCCCTGCATCCAGTGTGGAACAGCTTTCAGCGTAGTTCTGGTAAGTGTTTACTTAAGAAGAAGACCCATTACCCAGCTAGATTTTTGAGATCAGATTGCTCAGTTTGTGTTTGTTGTAGCTTAAGGTGAGGAAGAAGGAAAAGGGAAGTCACCCTATTCCTGAGATTTAACTGGACAGTGAGCAATTTTGAGAAAAGAAAATAAGTTTGATGAATAGCAGATTCCCACCAGTAGATTTATCAAGACAGTGAAGAAAGGACACATTGTGTGGCAGACTGACATAGATAATTACTATCTACACCATGTCTTTGGTCATTAGTCCTTTGGCAAGGACTAATATGAAGCCTAAGCTATAAGCTGACACAACGCCAATTGTGAGTTCCTTCACAGTGAATTCAGTGAGTTCAGAGTCACACGAGCGTTAAGACAGCCATTCCTTGCAGCAAAGCAGCCCAACACCTAAGGCCAGGTGCTGGGAGCTGACCTTACCTGGCTCATAGGTTTTGAGAGGCTTCTGTGTCAGGCTGTTGATGATATTTGTCACCACGATGTTGGCATGGAGCCCAGCATGGTAAGCCATCTTGGGCTCTTTGAGATCTGCACAGTCCCCAATGGCATAGATGTTCTCGTAGCCTTCCAGCTGGAGGTGCTTGTTAACTCTCAAAGCACCATTACTTGCCATTTTCTCACCTGTTTTGCCAAACAGCAGGTTTTTAGAAGCAGCTTTGTGTTGCCTGTGCTTTGTGCCCCCAAATGCTGCTGATGTGACTGACACAAAGTGAGGGGTTGTTTTTCTCTGTGTCAGGGGAGAGATGCTTTTTGCCTTGCTGTAATTAATCACTGCAGTCTCGTGCAATGCATCATCCTTTGGTATTTCAGCAGAATCACCCCCGCAGGTTGTACGCAGTCAGTTCCCCACCTCACACCCCTCAGGCACCAGAAGAGCTGTGTTGCCTCTCCCCAGCTCCATAGTTTGGGTTTTTTTCACTTACCAAATGCAGCAGCATATGCAGAGGAGTTAATCTTTATCCCTGTGCACAGCACCACCATGTCAACAACCACCTCGGTGCCCTTCTCGGTCCTTACTGCCATGTCTTTCTGGAACTGGTTTGGCCTGAGGTTTTCCACGTCACTGACCTTTTCACCTGTTGCAACAGAGAGCCCTGGGTCACCAACCTTTGCTAGGCTGTGGTTTACAGCTCAGGAATTCAAGGGAGCCACGTGTAACCAAAAAAGGTCAGAAAGAGGACATCAGGAGATGCTTTGGCTAAGGAAGAGCAGCTTGTGGGTGTTCATCATTGAGAGGCATCATTAAGGACATACTTAACAGAAGCCGGACTCCTTTCCTGAGGAGAATCTCTTTCACCTCCTGACGGACACTGGCTAGCAGCTCCACGTCAGCCAGTGCAGTTTTTGAGTGAATGAGGATGACCTATTGGGGACAAAACAGCAAATGGGGACACGGGAACAGAGCAGGACTCACTGCATGCAAGGTGGGAACAGCTATAGCTGGCCTCCCTCCACCCTAATTGATGCCTGCAAGAACAACCAGGAAGGGGCACCTTGTGCCAAAGTCCTTGCTGGTGGCTGGCTACAGGCTTGGCAACCAGATGTGCCGTCACCTCAGGTACCTCCAGCAGCACCACTACAGAACAGTCTGGAAACCAGGATGAAGTTCATTGTGCTGAAGATGCTCCTACCTCTTTGTCCGGGTACTCCGTTTTGATCTCGGCAGCCATCTCCACTCCAGCAGCACCACCTCCCACTACCAGGATGCGCTGAGATTTCTCAATCTTCAAGAGAAAATTTGTGTTACAGGAGAAATGCAAAGGGCAGGAAGCCAGATACCTTCAGTCACTCCATGGATGTTCTGGGACACAGCACAGGCCCAACACCAATAAGCCTCCTAGCTCATTAAGGGGCAACAAGAAAGGAGTGCCCTGTGCACTCTCCCTGCCTGCCCTGTAACACTGCTGAGCATTTCAGGTTTCCCCTTGTGCTAGAGAAGCCATGATGAGCTCCTTTGTCCTGGCTGTGTCCCTTTCTCTTAGACACAGCTGGCTCCAGATAGCCACAGTGGCATCTGGGACAGGGAGGCTGAACAAAGGCAGGCAGCACTTCCTAAGAGTTGATTCCTCACCTCTTTGACCATGTCTTCATAGGTCTGGATGGCTCGCTCCATGTCAATGACTTGGTTGAACTTCCCAGGGAATGGCCCATCACTGCCTGTTGCAAGAATGAGATGGGAGTAGTGAAGCTCCTGGGAAGGCAGAAGGTAGAATGGGATATTAGACCTCTTAAAAACAGAGCCTAGAACACAGTGGTTGCCTCCTAAGTATTTGTCACTCGTTCCCTCACCTCCATCCCTAGCTGGTAACCAATAAAGGTACTTGTCACTGTCAGGAAGTGACTTTAGGAAGAGCGTCCAGGTCACACCAAGCACCATTCAGGTGAGAGCTTTAAAGAAATTACCCTAAATTTACAGGGAATAAGCTGGTATTTATACTGGACACTCACAGCTGGTTCCAGAGACTAACTTCTCTCCTGAACGGAGGTGAGATGCTCTGGCTGAAAAGAGTGATTGATGCTGCTGCAGTTAAATAAGGATCTGAGCCCCAGGTTTAATTGTTGAGCTCTAAATCCAGCTCTAAGAATAAAAGCTCAGCTGAGCAGGAGATGGGGTTGGGTATTATTTACTGCACACCCACATCCCAGCACAGCTCAAGGCCACTTAGCTTGGCTGGAAGGAATGGGGCTGTGCAGAGAAAGATGCCAAATTCTTCAGGAGGATGGAACACACCCTGCTGAAGGCTGGCTCCCTGCAGTAGCAGGTGATCCCGTGAGGCAGCCAGGTCATTGCAACACCCACCTCACCATCACTGAGCACGACTCGTTGCCTCCCAGGGTCTATGTCCACGACCTTGCCTTGTCGGAAGCTGTCCCCAAAGGTGGCCGAGTAGGAGATGAAAGTCTTCTTGGCAAATCCTGTGGGAAGAGGAGACAATAGGAAAGCTCTCCTGGGGAGGCTGACAACCCCCTCATCTCCTCATGCTATCCCTGTTCAGACAAAAGCATGGCATGCATCTGGGACTGTGGGCTGGGCTTTTGCTGGGTGTTATCTCTGCCCAGCATCGAGCTCCAGGACCTTTGTCTCAGATCAGATGACAAGCTTGGCTTAGATGGCTTTGTCTCTGCTCCTGTATCTCCTGTACTGGTTTACCAATCACTGCTTCTGTGGGCCTGGCAATGTCAGGCTGGGTGTCAGAGGCTTTTTTCATGTAATCTGCCTCTCAGACCAAACTTTTGCTATCCTTTTGATGCTTGTTCCCAGCCTCCAGCGTGATATTTTACCCCTAAATTCCCCAGTGACTGGACTGATGGGGTTGGCCCAGCCTCCATCTGGGGGTTGAGCAGCTCTCTGAGAGGGTTTTATCATCCAGGGCCTCACTGCTCAGCTGTTCCACGTTTCAAGGGCCAGACACAGAAAGTGATTGACTCATCCCTTCCTGCTGTTGCTTTTAGCTTAGTCACCTTCCAAACTCTTGAAATAAAAAATTTTAGAAAGAGGGGCGAAGGAGGGATGGTCTGAGCAGTTTTTGCTCAGTTTTCCCAGCGGACGTGCAATTAGCTTAACCACGGACGGGCTGCGCGTCCTCCCGGTGCCAAGTATTTGTTTTCCAGATGGAAAACATCAAGTTTTTCAGCATCGCAGGGCGGAGGAGGCAGTGCGAGCACCCCGTTCCCCGCCTCCCTCCGCAGATCCCGGTGGGACGGGGGAGCCGCCCGAGCCCTTACCGCTCTCCACGGCGGCCCGGAGGGCGCCCACGTTGTGATGGAAAGCATCTCTCATGTCCACCAGCACGAAAGGGACGGCCCAGGACTTGAGCAGGCTGGCGGCTGCCGTCCCCCCGAAGCCGCCCCCGACCACCAGGACCCGCACGGAGTCGTCCAGGGACAGGCGGGAGCCCAT